AGAAGTTCTGGTAAATTGAAACTCTGTCCAGTTTTCAAAGTTTATGTTCAGTTTAGTTCGATTCAGTTTAGTTCAGTGTTGTTTAAACTATTTTTGAGAATGCTTTTGTTATTTAATTTTTATTTTCAGTGTGTAATTTTATTTTAGTCAGTGCCAAAGCAACAGTTCTAAACTTCACATAGTTTTTCAGTATCAATTTATTTTGATGGTCCCTTAAACACATTTTGTTGAATTTAAGATGCATTGCATCTACATGCCAGCTAATTCTAGTTGTTAGTAATAAAAGTAGACTGTTAGGTTAAGTTAGGGTTAGTGTAAGTTGACATGTACTTGCAAAGTTTCCTATAGTCAGTTAAATGTCTGTTGAAGGAGCAGTATCAGCAGTATTAAGCAGACAGTCTACTAATACTCACTTAAGAATTAATTGGCATGTAATTGCAATGCAACTTTTAAGCAACAAAACGTGCAATAGGGACCATCGAAATAAAGTGTTACCAGTTTTTCTAATCTAAAAATATGAATTTCTTTATTTTGTTTAAAGGGGTGGTCCAAAGTGTATTTTTAAGGCTGGGTTGTTTATAAGATGTAAAGCAATGGGCTTCATTTGTAGAAAAATATTGTAATTGTTTCACATATCTTCCTTTAATTATATACAGCTACTCTGCTAACATGAAACGACTGTCATATTTCCTAGTTCCTCTGAAAGGCCTGTCCTCAAAAGGCTCTGATTGGTCAGCTAACATAATGTGCTGTGATTCATGGATCAGCTCCACGTCATCATGGAAGAGCGGTAAACGCCTTCAAGCACACACTTTTGCACTATGTAAACAGTCAGTCAAAGTAGCTGTTAGCCGTATCAGTTTGTGCCTAAAGCAGACAGAAAATGAAGAGTACACAGCTGAACCTCATGCTTGCTCTCTAAAATAAAATCTGACAAGTTTGTTTCATATATATTTGGAGTAAGCATGTGTAAGTAATATGAAACGTTCTGATTTCTTTTGTGAGTTTGTAATTTGAGATGGAGAATGCAGAGAAAGTTGCCGCATAAAAAGATTTAATCATAGCTAAATTTTTAGAGGTGCCAAACAGCATTTCCCATTGTTTAAATCCTTGTTTACATATTCGCTGTAACATACTGTTAACGCTAGAAACTGTGCATGTAATAGATCAATTTCAACAAATACAAATACTTACAGGTTGTGGCTCACAATCCACAGCTTCTTCGGTTAGAAGAGTTTTTAGCTGAATCCAGCACTGAACTGAGAGTAATTCTGGAAGCTCTCCTTTGTCAAATACTAGCTATATATTTTTTATATGGTGAATGTATGTAACCTGAAGTGCTTGTGATCTCACTAGCCTGGATGAATTTGTTTTTATTGGCCAAACTTAATTCACTGTGGCTTTGCTAAGCTAACTCTGTTAAAGCCAATGTCTTCCTTTGCAATGATTGAACTTTGAACATATTACATTCAGAGATGTTGTTTATGTTCACACAGCTACATTACACATCAACTAAAGTTTAAAATATGATATCATAGTGGACCACCCCTTTAATCAACATTGACAAAAACAAATGAACAAAAAAAAATTGTTTTGTTTTAGTTTTAATTAATGATAGTAACCACAAAAGATGCTGTATACAATGTATATTAAGCTTTGCTAATTATTTGTACAGCATGTATAAAGTATTTCATTATTTTATATTTTCATATATCAAAAGCAAGAGTTATTATGAGCGTAAAGTATTTTGCAAAAATGTAAGATTAGTTTTTACATTTGTTTTTTTTAATCTGTTTTTATCAATTTAGTTTTTTCTATCGTCCAATAAAAACTGTCATGTTTTCAGACATTTTATTTATTTCTTTTTGTGTTTTTATCATTAAGTATTTATTATCATAATAATAATTTATTTATTTAGTTGTTGTTTTTTGTAATTTAATGGTGTAATACTATATATCTGGTCATTGTTTAAAGACTCACACTGGTTAACATACAGTTAACAGACTATAAAAAAAAGCTTTTTATTTCCCATGTAACAGCCGAACTGTTGCTGTACTTCGCTTGATATATTATCCTTTTGAGGGGAGCATTTGTTGACATAAATATAATAAGATTTTCACTTGAATTATGTGAAATGTTTGCGCTGCGCATGTTATTTATTACAGCATTTCATAATGCGTACAGGGACGAATGTCTTTAAAATGAAACATATACGGTTACCCTAGATTTTTGTTGCTCCTCTGAGAGCTCTCTCTCTTCAGAATTTAATTATTTTATTCCATTGTTTAAGTCCGCAAAATGCATTTTCGCCACTATTGTTTTATGGCTGGCGCTTTCCCTGCGACACATTCCCATAGAAAACAATGGTTTGATTTAGCATCAGGAGGCATAAAACTGCACAATATGAATGTGTTGTGTCTGCAGCTAATTAGCGTTAGCGCTTGCTTTGCCGCATGAACTCATCCTACCGTAGAGTCCTTCTGTTCATCTGTTAGAGCTATTATTGGAGAAAACCCACTGTTGAGCCCCATCCAGGAAAAAAAAAAAAATCTCGGGGTGTCATTCTTCATCGGGGAATCACATTTCATGGTCCTGACCTTGGTAATGATTTATCTATCAGCTAGAAACATAGTGCTGTCTGAGTTTGCAAACCGCAGGTTCAAGAGGAGCCTTTGGTAGAGTTGCCATCTGTACCTCATTGACGCTTTCTGCTGCATTTTAGTCTGAGAGTTTCAGACCTGGTGACCCGATGCACTGTCTGCTCCGTAGTATATGCTGTCATCCTTCTTCATCTGTATATACAGAGGATCTGATGTGTTGCTATGTTTACGTGTCATACCACATTATGCTATTAAAAAAAACTCATCTTAACTGGAACTGTTAAGTTTTGTGTAGTATATTCAGTCAGATGTGCCGCGATAAGGATGTTTCATCATTCCAAATGCAACCTACTGTAAAAGATTTACCATTTAAACTGGAAATCTGGTTTTGCTTTAGACTTTTGACTGTCTTAGACTATATGATTTCATGTGTCATCTTCTTTCATCTACTGTGTATATCCAGCTGGTCTGTGGCTGGTTGCGTAAACATAGCCATTATGTTAAGTTTCATCAGCTAACAGGTAAACAAGGCGTAATCAGTCTTACTTTTCAGATTGAAGTTTGCCTGATATTATAATGACTGAGAGAGCTCAAATGTGGTGAAAGTAAAATAACTACTTTATAAAAAAGGATATGACCTCTCCTAGGAGGTTACCCAAATGCTTTAGTTGGTCATAACTCTTGAGTTGCTATAGGCCATTCGGTTCACACCTTTTCAGTTGCAGATACTTGTTTGCATATGAAACAAGCCATACAATCTATCAGCGGAAATAGAAAAACATAAATTAAGAAAACATCAATTTGACAACACAAGTGCTAAATTGCTAAATCTTACAACACTAAATACAGGAATGCACTGCAAATAGCGCAGACCACAATGAAAATATATCAGAGGACCCCAAAAGGTGATTGCACTTTTTAGAATTTAGAACCTTTAACTTTAATTGTGCAATTTAATAAATTAATATGGTTGAAAATATTCAATCAACAATGAAGTGCATGACCAGGATGGTAAAATAAGCAAAACATCTTGCGCCTCAGATTTCTGACAACACCAGTAACTCTAAACAGGAAGCAGCCAAATGTTGAGACGTTTTTGTTTTAGTCTGCGCTATTTGCCAGTGTATCTATCTGCGGACTGGAGGCCTGTCTCAATTTGGAATTTAAGCTCTGCGATATATTGTTGCGATAAGTGATTATTATTGTCAATTTGAGATCATTTTATGCCACAGATTATATAAGGATTATAAAACAGCATAATAGTGCAAATAGCCATAAACATTTTAAACTACATATTATTCTCAAGGTTATTTAGACTCTTTAATTTGATTTTAAGAAGCTAAATGTCTTATTAAATGTACTATTAAATGTCCTATTAAGGAGGTGAGGCGAAATGTAAATTGTAAAATGTCTTTAACACTATTTGTAGATATATATTGCAACGGCAAAAAGTTGAGGTAATCTCTAAGAATTGCATGATAAGTCAATATATCGATTATTGTGACAGGCCTAGCAGACTGCAAGACAGGGGCGTAACATGAAACTTGTAGTAGAGGCGTAACTTGCAGTTATTGAGATCCCATTGAACCATGCGAGATGTCACGGAATGTTGTTGGCAAGATGGTGGAAATAATTTCCAGAGAACATTCTCAGCTAATGTTTTCACGCGTTTTCTCATTTTGCAAATAAGAGTACAATGGCGAGCAGCAACTCACGGCTGTACGTGCACAGTGGAGTAGGTGTAGACGTTAATAACTGTGATGGTTGGGTTTAGGATTGGAGTAGGTATATACGTTAATAACTGTGATGGTACAGCGCCATCTTGCCGACAACACAGTTTCAACTACAAGTTATCCCCCCTTCATGTTACACACGTCTTGCAGTCCACAGACAGACCCTACTCACTATTTGCAGAGCATTTCTGTTTTTGCATGTGTTGTATGATGTCTAACCGATGAAGAAGTTTTCTCAACTTGTTGTTGTTTTTCTATTTGCATGTGTTTTTGTTTACTTGCAGTGCTTTTGATGTCTCTCAGCCACCATGATATATACATTTTGGTAGCTGAATTAAAAAAGTTACAGGCATACTTAAGGAGTAGAATACAGTAGCTTACATTTTAAGAATATTTTAAGATCTTTATGCAACTTGGGGCTTGAACTTTGACCCCCAATCTATCCCATCGTATCCCAAAAGCATTTTACCCCAAGCATTTTTGATCTAGCACGTTCCAGTGACAACCTCAAACATTTACTATATACACTGATACAGTATATGGTTTCGCTTTAGACTTTTGACTGTCTCAGATAATATAATTGCATGTGTTTGACTTTGTTGCTCAGTGAATGAAAGGTATTTACTAATGTTAACCAACTAACCATAATGCTTCTGGTTTACAACAGGCAGATGGCACCAGCTCTGCCATTATTAACATCTCGCCTTCTCAGTCCAGCCTTCATGTACGTATGTATGACATCATCAGCTCACCTCTTTCCATCTCTCTGCAAAACTTCGTTTCATCTTCACTAGAGCTTGTTGAGTGATAATGGTATGGTTTGAGTCCAGGGTTTTGGAGCTATAATTTAACTGAGTCGGAATATGGCTTTTGTGTTTGTGGCCCATGGCATGTCACCTTTGCTCTGTCAACAAGTGGGAAGCATTATGTGGCTTGTGTTACTGTATGTGCTGTATGCTCATAATATATAATGATACATGGACAAGTGACATCATCCTGACCAAGGTTTAACACTTACATGAAAATTAATACGTCTAATTATCACTAAACAGTTTGACTTTCTCTTATTATAAAGTTGCTTTGATGTGTTTTTCTTGATAATGATAAGATGATATTTAAAGGGGAACTACACAAAACTGAAAATGTTGTCATCATTTACTCACCGGTCACTTCTCACAAACCTGTTTGTTTGTTTCTTCTAAACAGTGTTGGAAAACAGTAATCAGTAGGCCCTTTCAGATATACAGACGTTTCCAGAAAATTATCAGCAATTTTCTGGAAAGGGATCATGTGTGAACAGGCCCTTTTATAAAATACAGGTAAATTTTCCAGAAAGGGAATTTGAAACATTACTGGTAATTTGCTGGAATGCTGCTGTGTGTGAATGCAGAAGGAAAATAAACGGAAAGAGAACGTTCATGATTAGAACATGCTGGCGTGAGACGTCCACAGTACTCTAGCCATTCAGAACATTCAGATGCATTCACATCTGCATGGTTTATGAAAACAAAAGCCTTTGAATATTTTTCTAGACACATTGAGCTGCTAGATGTTGGTCAGATAACGTTTCTATGTTCCGTGTTAATGCTAAAATGAAGCTCTGCTTCAGTTGCTTGACGCGTGTGCATGTGAAGCAGCCGGTGAGCGCCAACACACACACATATTATGTACATCTCGACATGTGAACGTCCTTGCCTATTTGAACAGAGCTTTTTTTAATTTACCGGTAAAGTCGTTCTAGAAGTTGTCCGGATGTTTACCGGTATCGCTGTGTAAAAGGGGATATTGACTTCCGTAATACTTGTTTATTAAGAAAGTAAAATATTGAAACAACTCTGATTCATCAAAGTACCTTATTTTGTGTTCAACAGAAAAAAATTACTTGAGGGTGCGTAAATAAATATTAAGTAAATGTTCAGTTTTTGGTTGAACTATCCCTCCCTAAGAAATAGTATGTTAAAACAAATCTGTCATTTGCTAATTTTCAAGCTTACTATTCCAAGCCTACATGACATTCATTCATCTGTGGAACCAAAAACATATTTGAAGTATTTGAAAAATGTTTAAAAAGTCAATTCGCTGTTTAATTGTATTAACAAAATGATTCAGTTTTAAAAGAATTCTCTCTCAGTGGCTTTAGTAATTTGATGTATTTTTTCCATTTTTATTAGTTTTTTATTTTATATTTATATATTGCCTGTTTATTCAGGTTTTGATAATTTCATTTTCTTTTCTTTCTTTCATATTTTAGTTCTAATTCATAGTTTAGTTGCTAAAGTAATATACTGCACCAGCAGAAAATCCAGACATAACATCAAAAATATAGTTTAAACAAAGTAAACTCAACCAGGGGTTTAAACACACATGAGATAACAAAAGATCAAACTGATGCACCTGCACAAAAACACAAATTTAAAAATACCCTGGACAAAAATGTGTAAACATTGCATTTTTCTGTTCAGAAAATCAAGCGTTTAACTGTACAAGGCCCCTTTTCCTATCGCATGTCAATGCATCTTTACTTAAAGCAAAGTGAATTGAAATAGTTTACTCAAACTGTTGTTGAATAACCTGACTGGCACAAAACAAAGTCCAAACCTGGACCCCATTTGTTTCGGGATGAACTGGAACATGAACTTCTAGTCAGTCCCAATTGCCCAACATTAGCGCCCACAGCCATGTTACAACATCTTCTGTTTTCCACAACATCTCCACAGCCTGACCCAAGATTGAGAGCTGTTAGAGCAGCAAAGGGAGGACCGGCTCCCTGTCAATATCCTTGGTTTTGAAATTAAATGTTCAGAAAACCTCATATGGGTGTGGTGTTTGGGAGTCCGCATACTTCTGACCACAAAGTCATTTCCAAATGATATTTACACCAATTTAATTAGCTTAGCGGATGCCTCTAATCAGGAAAATGCAAGTGGGGGATCTAGCTGCTAGTGCAAGGTTTTTAACTCAGTGAAGGAATTTGTGTATGTGCATTTTGAAAAAACTAAGATCAATTTAATAAATCTGCATATTATTACTAATATTAACACTTCTGAAGTTAAAACAGTTGTATTAAGTTGTCTAAAACGGAATATTAAAGTTTAAAAACAAGGTAGGCTTTTATTTTATGCAAAACAAAGTGTCCTGAATGACATCGTCACCATGTGGAAGAAATGTCATCAATAGTTTACGGAGTAAAACAAATTCATTTTTAACATATACTGTAATTATAAATGACACATCTACAGAAACTAAGAATTTGTAAGTGGTGTATTGGCTTTTTCCATAACCATACATACACACACCACAGCTACCCTTAACAAACAGTACCTGTGGTAAACAAAGTAAACTCTTTAGTCTCAGTAATAATGCTAAAATATAATTATCTTGATATCCTTATATAATTTGCTGATTTGCAAGAAAGATAGGGAAATAGAAAGACGCTTTCTTTCTTTTTTTTCCTGAGGCAAAGCTAATTTGTTGTAGAATTTGTCTTTGACTTGGTCATGTTCTCTTTGTTACAAGTCAGATTGTTTGCAGAACACTGTTCCTCCACAGAGATGAGTCCTGTTTTGTGTTAAGATCAAGGGTACTTAATGAATTCAAACTATCCTTCTTTCTGCACTTTTCTGGTTACAGGAATTTCACTTCAGATAGAACAAAAAATCAGGCTCATGAATGTGGGAAAGAGGGAGGATATAGGAGAAAGGCTTTACTGTATGTCTGTGTTGTTCAGTCATTGTTTAAACATAATCTACTCCTGGGTGTAATGCAGGCTACATTCACAACATGTCATAATTACTGTCATTTCAAGATGAGGGTGATGTTGTGCTTAGTCTTGTCCTCAAACTTTTTGAGATTTTAATTTCTCTTGGTAATAATTTCAATATCTATACATAGTGCCTATATGAATCTACGGTGGTCAGCTGGTCACATATTCAAGTTGCAATGAAAGGTTTTACATATCTAAATTCAGAGCTGATCCTATTTTTATGGGCATACGCAAAATTTTGTAAAGGGGCCCATGTCAGTGTGTTAAAAAAAAATTAAAAAAATTGTCAAGAAACAACAGTTACTGAACTGCAGTTAACCTGACAATTGCAAACAATAGGATGAATGAAATAAATAAAAGTTTCAATTTAATAAAAAATATATTGTATTAAAATAATAGTCTACTCTACATACATTGAATCAAGTAATCAAATAACAATATGTGAAGTTTTATATAGAACAAATTTACATAGATTTTTTAGTAGTGACCATAGTTACTCAGTGACGAGCATTAAGTGATTCTGTTCTTCTGTAATTCTTTTATTTGTTGTTTGATTGACATTAAATGACTGAATTTACATGCATTATTTGTAATGACAAAGAATCCGATAACTAACTTTAAGTTTATTTAAGATTTAACTAGCTGTATTTAAGCAAAAATTTAGACGGACATTTTGTATTTTTTGCGTGCGTAATTAAGAACACAAGAAGAAATCGAAGTGTCCATGTTTCTCTTTTCTTTCAACATATTCGGGTTTCTCAGTAGCGGAAGTCATCATAGTTGGTTAAACTTAGAGTTCCACGTATGAGACAGACTAACAAAAATTTATTTTTTTTAATGATCCTATTTGCTGAAATAACAAAATAAAAACTCCACAATGGTGTTATCAAGACTTTCAGGAAAAAAATAAAACAATTTGTGAGGCTGATAACGGCAGCCAGAAGTCCACATTTCAAACACCTGGTACAAGTGGTAATTCTTTTTTTTTTTTTTTTTTTGTAATTTAATACAAAGATAATATAATACATACATAAATACACATAAATGTTCATATAAAAAAAAATCTAAATATTAAAAACTTTCAAGCACCGTTAAATGCGTCATAACAGTCTATCAGCATAACGGTTAACGTTGAACACATTAAACAATGATGGAATGTTACACAATTTGACTGGTTTGGAGGTTACACACTGTAGAAAGGGCCACAGCACATTGCTTTATAGGAAAGGAATGTAAATCAGCCATTTTTAGAATCGTTGGAAGCTAAAATCAAAAACACAACAGATCTTTTACACGCATCTAGCTATTACCGTATATCATCTGCTGGTCCAGGGCCCTATGCAACTTACCACATACTGCTATGTATATGGAGGACTGGCTCTGTCCGTGTTTCATAATTACAGTAATTCTAAATGGCGTGAATGGATGCACTTCTTCAGCATGGTAATTAGTCTTAGTCGCATGATTTTTACAGCTTCGGGAGTTTGGTTCTGCTTTTTACCACTACATTATTCCAGGCCAGGAATAAGCGCAATGCTTTGATACAATGTCTTGTTTATATCACACTCTAAATGTAGTCCTCTTTGCCTCTTCTTGCCAAGACATGGAGGGTTGTTGGATTTATTTATTTTTTTGTAAACAAAGATATTTATTTTATCATAAAACATTCAAACCAGATGACCAAAAACCCAAATTTTTTCTCGCACCAGAGCCAAAGTAAATAGGGCCGTTAAAAGATTCCCAGTGTGTTTCCCCTTATAGCCAAATGTCAAGAGTATAAAGGAAAATAATAAGTGAAAGGAAGAGAAAAAGAAAGAGAGACAAAGATGTATGTTTAATCGTTTTGTGCTAATTAAATCTTAAAGATGCATGCTTTCTGTGAGCAGCCGTCCTGTTGAGAAAAGATAGAGACATTGTCGTAATTCGACTTCTTATCAATTAGAAATTATCAGACAGGAGGT